CTATGATTGGTAGCATTTAGATCAGGACGCGGATCCTACTTGTAGGCTATGATCGATAACATTTGGATCGTGTAACTGTATCCTATTTGTAGGCTATGATCGGTAGCATTTGGATCGTGTAACTGGAAGCAAATCCTTCTTGTGATTATGATTCAAATTTCTGGACGACAATGATAAATAATTTCTTGTTTTTCTTTATTTAAATCATGTTATGGTTCAGGAGTTGTCTTTGAGGCATCGACATTCTCGGTTTCGGCACTTTTGACGTCGACACTCACGACTTGCAAATTGTTGGTCCAAACAAAGTTTCTTGTTGGCAAATTGATACTTCATAATCAATTAACATCAATTTCAGTGGGGATGTCAATCACGAAGGACGGAAATCAGGGAGCTAAATTAGGAGTTTTCTATAATTAAGAGCTTTCCTTATTTAAATTATGCTTTCTTATTTAAATTATTTTCAATGTCTTTATTCTGATTTATTTTCCTTTTGACTGAATATTTAGATTAGAAATATGTATTACTAAGTCATCTAAAATAGATTATTACTTTATTATTTACCTAATATAGATTGTACAGACTATTATTTATAACAATGAAAGCTAAGGAAAAAAGACATTCAACCTATTTTTCTCAAAATTTTTACATGATATCAGAGCCAAGTTTTTACCCTAACCATCGGTAGTCGTTGGAGGACCGTCAAGACTCTCTTCCCGCCGACCTTCTTGCGGGAAGGGAGAAACTATTTCTTTACTCTGATTCACCCATCTGACAAAGCCCATCGCGACGGAAGCAGACATGACACACGACTTTACACACCCCTCAGAGCCACGTCCAATATTTACGAGCTGAATCTTTGGAATCTTCGAAGTTAGGAAATGTTTGTCCTTCTTCGACTGCAGATCTTTGAGTCTCGTTGCGACTGCTCGTCTGCTTTGTCTAAAATCCTCGTATGCTTTGTCTGTGCCGCTCGATTGCTTCGGCGGCTTCGTCTGAACTGTTCGCCTGCTTCTTTGGCTCACTCGACCTTGACTGTTCAGTCTTATGGAGTGCTTCACCTGCTTTCACTGCTTCGCTTGATCGTCTGTCTCGACTGTTCTGTCGATTAATTGGTTCGTTAGTTTCGTCTACTGCGCTCACTCCCTCTACTTCGTCTGCTTCATCTTCGACTAGTTTCGTCTCCCGCCTCTTCGTTCGAACTCTGTCTTCGACATCTTCGAGTGCTTGCTCCAAGTTGTCGGCGTTCGCAAGGGGAGGAGACGGCGAAATCATAGATGAATAATGTGGATATGAGATTGCGTAATAAAATATTGACTTAGAAAAATTAGCCAATTTTTTAGAATTAATGTGGAATCATGTCAGTAATTTTTTCGTTAAAAGTGATTTCTGTGTTAAAAAATTTTAATGAAAAAGTATAAATGGCCTAAAATGATCATTAATTGATTATTGTTGACCTTGAGAATTAGTTGATGCGCATTAAGACATCAAGGCCCATTTAAAAGGATTGTTGAAGTTACTGAAAACATGTACGATGGAGCACGAGCTTGCATTAGAATTAATTATGAAGTGACCAAAGGGATGACATAAGAATCAAAATGGACTCCTTTTCTTTTTTTTATTGGCTATGGAAATACTCACAAATGATATACAAAATAACGTCTTCGATATATACATCATTTTGATGGCATTATTTGATGGCATTATTTTGAATTGGTGAGAAATCTCTTAGAATAAGTGAAATGTTGGAACATTATATAAATGTTTTGATTATAGAGGGCTTATATATATTATAATAAATGTTGATTACTTGATATACAATTTTAATGAATGTGATATTCATAGTTAATGTCAATGTTGTTAGATGATAAAGTGACATTTATTTGTTATAAATTTTGTTGAGAAATTGGGGCGAAGAAAAACAAGAACGACACAAATCCAGAAGAACACACAGAGATTTAACGAGGTTCGACAAAGATGTTCGGCACATCCTCGGGAGCAGAGCGGCGTCCTTCTTTTCAATATTTAGAAAAGAGTACAAAATACAAGATTCAGCTCTCTCTAAGACCTAGGCTTACAAACATGTCTATTTATAATCCTAGAGTAAACCCTACAGTACAATATGTAATTACCAAATTACCCATGTACCGTATATTGGGGCGTTGACCCAGCACCCCCAACCCACATAACGTAACTTCACGATTTGGACAGATTCTTCCGCTTCGCTCCGCTCTGCTCAGCTTCGTTTCTGCGTCTGTCCCTATATGGTATATGAGTCATACCATAACAAATCTCCCCCTTGGCGAAATTCAGAAAATACTTCCAAATTTTCTTCTCCATAAGATTCCTTGTTGAGCCAGAAATGGTACTTTGATTCTGCTACAAATCCTTTTAAATAATCGCTTAATTAAGATTCTTTAATTAAATTCACCTTAATTAAGTTTCCAAGAAAAATGATTTTCCCTTAATTAAGTTTTCCAGAGAAGTAACAAAATCTTTCCAAAAAAAGAATTGAAATATTCCCTTAATTAAATATTTCATTTAATTAACTGGATTTCAAATCATTTCCTTTCTTCAGCCTCCAGCAAAAAAATCTCACATCCGCAGATCCAACAGAGGAAATCCACCAAAAGAAAATATTTCGCGGCTCCTGTTAAAGAAAGAAAATCACATTCCAATTGCTCCGCTCCGCTTTCCTTCCAAAATTTTCTTTGAAATTTTTTTTTCGGCGTCCTGGAATAGCTCCGCTGCACCGCAAAATTTGAAGAATATTCCAAATTTACTTCTCCGCAGTTTTCTCCGCTCACTCTAGCGAAGGAAATAAAAAATTCTTTCTATTTCCGCTCCGCCTCTTGCAAAGGAAATTTAGCACCAGCCAAAGAAAAATTCGAAAATTCTTCTAAATTTTCTTCTTCACAACCCTTCCTCCGCTCAACCCGCAAAGGAATGAAATATTTCCTTCTAATTTCTCCTAATTCAGAATTGCCTCCACAACAAACAGACATCAATGGAAATTGATTCTCCTTCTCCAGTAAACGGAGAAGAATGGAAATCGCGAAAGAAATTCCTCCGCTTCCGCCTCAATCACGCCTCCAATTCCTCCTTCCGCTCGAACTCGCAGAGTCCTGATCCGTGTCCTGATCCGCGATTCCTTTCTGTCGCCAAAACAGAAGCACGAACGTCCCTCCCGCGACGCGAACTCTTCCTTCTGCCTCCCGCCTCATGCGGGAACAGTGCATCTGCGAACTCGGCCCTGTAGCTGCGATCCTCCGCTCCTTCCCGCACCAGTCAACTCCCCAGCAGCCTTCGCACCGATGTCTTGCCGCCGCCAATCGCAACTTCTTGCAATTCGTGAATTCTCCTGTTATATCGAAGCCGCGAACTAGTGAACTCTTCTGCTGTACCGCGAACTCGCGAACTCTTCTTCTTCTGCTGCTGTACTGAAACCCCGTCCTTCCAGCGCCGAGCCGTCCGAATCGCAGCGTAGCCCAATTCCCCGAAGCCTTCGCCGAACTGCTTGCAACCTCTGTCTGCCGCGAACGGTAGAGAAATCAGAAGAACTCTGCGACACTTCTGCAAACTGTGTCGAAACCTTTGCGTTTGTTCGCAGTAACACGCGAACCTGCTTTGCTCACGATTCTGAAAATGAAGCCTAAGCCGAAATCCTCGTCCCGCCGAACTCCTCTTCGAAGATTAGGAACTACGGCGACCCTTGCTCCGGTCGAATTCACTGAAGCAACTTCCTGCGCTGAATCTGACACCCTAGCCGCCAAACTCCTCTGCCAAAATCTTCTTTATTCCTGCGCTGCCGAAATTTTTCTTCTCTGTCCTTAAACCTCGCTTTGATACCACTTGTTGAGAAATTAAGACGAAGAAAAACAAGAACGACACAAATCCAGAAGAACACATAGAGATTTAACGAGGTTCGACAAAGATGACTACGTTCTCGGAAGCAAAGCGGCGACCTCCTTTTCAATATTCAGAAAAAAATACAGAATATAAGATTCAGCTCTCTCTAAGGCCTAGGATTACAAACATGTCTATTTATAATTCTAGAGTAAACCTTACAGTACAATATGTAATTACAAAATTACGTAATTACAAAATTACCTATAGTGGGGCGTTGACCCAACACCCCTAACCCACATAACGTAACTTCCCGATTTGGGCAGATTCTTCCGCTTCGTTCCAGCGTCTGTCCCTATATGGTATATGAGCCATACCATAACAAATTTAATCTCTTAGATCTGTTATACAAAAGAAATATGATATAAATTACGATATAACTTCTATAATTAAGGTTCATTGGTTTAAATGAGAAAAAAATTAAAAGTATCATGTAATAAAAAAATGTGTTGGATAGTTAAGGGTAAATTTAAATAAGGATATAACTTCCAGAATTATGGCTCATTAGTTTAAATAAATAAAATTTTAAAAGTATTATGTAATAAAAGGATGTGACGGAGACTTAATGGTAAATTTTATAAAATTGTAATTAGGCCGACTGCTTTGTATGTATTTGAGTGTATGATGTAAAAGTTGGTTTATGCATAACTTGAGCTTGATAGGAATGAGTATGTTGTGTTTGTTCTGTGGCAAATTAGGAATGTTGATAATGTAATTGAAAATAGATAGATTGTTTGGATATGTACAACAAATCATAGGAAACATTGGATGAGCAAATAAAATTTTTTTCAGAGGATTGGAAAGGAGAAGTTGTAGACTTTATGTAAAATGTTGATAGAAGTTTTTCAAAATATTTTTTAAATAAGAGATTTGACATATTGGGCAACATTTAACACGATTGAATGAAAAATGAGATCCCATAAAGCCTACCCTAAATAATTGAGATAAGGCTAATATTGATGATGAAGAAGAAGATATTCCAAATTTTTTTTTTCTAAAATCATTTATTTTAAATATAATGTTTGCCCTAACAGTTGTTCCCCACCCTCCTGCCCCTATTAGGAATTTTTGTGCTTACTATGCTCTTGTTTTTGTAGGAGAGCACCAAGTATGCTAAATTGATAACAGTTGCTGAAAGGTTAGATCATGGAGGCCGACCCCTTTATGAGTTTGAATACGCAGTAGACAGCACCAGAGGAGGAATGAAAAGGATCTTTTCAGCTGCATTTGTAGCCTCAAAGAAACTGTATCTTCTCAACATTGCCTACTCTGATCGCCCAGAGAATCCCTTGGATACTGACACTCGAATGATTTTGAGACAAATTCTTCATTCTTTTGGCTCTACTGTATAATTAGGACAGTCCTGTTTGGTAGTGATGAGCAAAAGTTACAGAGGAAGTGACGAATTTTTGGCTAAACTGGGTTTGAGTCTACATATTGTCTTGAATATTTACCATTTACAGTTCTACTCTAATTCTTTTAATGCTCCTAAATTATCAAATGATAGAAATGCCCTTGTTGTTCAAACTCAATAAACATTTAATGTTATTTCTTCCTATCTCTCATGGCGCAGTTTGATGCATAATTGTCACATATGCAGTTAATCATTAAAAAAACACAGGATTTTTAGTAGAACTCGCTTTCTTGACTCATTTTTTTTCCTGTTTTGTCACATGAATTTGTTTGCTCATACCATGCAAACTGTAATTTGAGCCGATTGCCTTTTGATTGTAACATGAAGGACGCTGAGGACGAGTCTCCAAGGAACGAGCAAATATTTCATTCGGACTCTGCACGTAAATTACGTCCGGAGTTCAATGATGGGGCGCCGTGTGTCAAGTGAGCCCACCACAATGCATTAAGATTGGTCAGTGCTAAAATTGTGGGGCCCACTTGACATGTGACACCCCATCATTGGACTCCGGATGCATCTGGAGTCTTTGCCTAATATTTTTTTTACTAAGAAACACTTACTGCACACATTCTACAGCTCCTCTTCTTCTGGTGTATTGCTTCTTTTCTTTAACTCGGGCCTACGCATAACTATGTTAGTCTAAATATAATTATTATGATTGTTTAGGCCTTCTGTGTTTTGTGTGAAAACTTATTCCATATTGCAGAGATGCGTACAATGTCCGATCTCCACCGTCCATCACAGCAAAGATGTATGACGGTGGGCCCTATTTTGATTTTTTTTTTTTTTAATTTGCTGTGATGAACGATAGAGATCGGACAACACTGCATGCATCTCTACATATGGTGTCCGTATGAAATAATTTTTCCTTTTGTGCACGACTGTGTCTCCAACAAATCGAGCTTCTGCTTTCGTCATTCCCAATAGGAAATTCAAAATTAATGCATACCGACTTAATTTAAATAATTAACATTAGCTTCAATAACGGGCATTATTTTGTCTTCCCACTACATTCTTAATGCCTTTAAATCAACACATGTCCATGAATATTTGGCAGACATAATTTTTTTTCCCCAAAATTTCACCCAAAATCATTTAAAAACCCCTCGTTTGTTTTCATTTATACCACACAATTGTTAGCATGTGGCATTTACTGAATGATTTGTGAGGCTGCCTGCTTTTCTTCACAAATGTATTAAAATTTATAGCGGCTTTTACATGTATACCACACAATTTTTATGTATTTATATGTTTAACATCTAAACTTTCATATTTATATGCATAACATTCAACTCTTAAAACATCACATAAAAAAATATACACAGTAACTTCGTTTTAAGAGTGAAATACACATTATCATGTATATGTTATGGGCCTCATGGCATCAAAGTTTTTAAAAAATAAATAGGAAGGTTTAGGTGATAAATATGTAAGTATATAAGAATTGTAAAATATAAATATGATTCAATTATTTTACATGTTAAGTTCAACATCTAAGTTTTCTTCTTTTATTTTAAGTGGGTGGGTTGTTGATATTTTTTGTAATAAATGTATTAAATTGATATTTAATGATATTTACTAGTTTAATACAATAACAACTTTTCTATTTTGATTAAAGACAAGTTTAGTTTATATCAAATTTATTATTACAATGCTTTTGTTTGTGTACTTAATTATTCTATACATGGGTCATTCCTCCATGGAATCCATTGAAATAATCTTTTTTTTTAACCAAATTTTTTGATAGTTATATATAACACCTAAATATTTTTCTTTATAGAAAATATTATTATCACTAATTTTATAAAAGTGAAATATGCATTTTCTTGCATATTTTAATGGCATGAAAATATTATAAATAGAAATAATAGGTTTAACGGTTAGATATATAAATACATTTGATGTTTATGTATATTTCGCTAATTATCTTTTTCTTTTGTTAATTTTTAAGAAATTGATTTATTTATTAAAGCATAAAAGTTCACTGAATGAGGTCGATCTAATTAATTTTATTCTTGCTCTAGCCATTGTCTTATATATGGCTCTTTCATTTTGTTTTCATTGTGAGTTTATGCACTTCCCATCCTTAGTGAATGAATATGTGTTTCTGAATCCATCGTGTTGATTCATCTGGTTAAATTACCATGGTCTCCCCAACAAAAGGTGAGTAACATCCATAGAGACCATTGCACATCACATTTGATACTACAGCTGGCACCCAATCAATAACTTCATGAGGCACCTTCTGTCAATGTTGGCTCTATTTGTCTTCTTCAACCTTGTCATAGAATATTGCTCAGAGTGCCTCTAAATAATGAGACCCAATTTCCCTACCATCGACATAGATGGAACGATCTTACTATTCCTTCCATTGATTATGAGACTGCATATCTTTTTGTTCATAGCGCAATGAGTGTATTGTGAATAAACCATTGTGAATCCCTTGCATCCTTGATTTGTAGGATCTGTCAAACCACAAGTGCTTCTTCTTCATTCGGTAGCAGATGAAACACCACACCTTTTTACTCAGCTTTCTTCTCATCCCTAACATCCTCCACGATGCACTGCTTCGTAGAGGACACGATCTGACAAGTCGGGCAGCTGGAGACAATGTGCCCAAATCCTTAGCATCTGAAGCATTTTCTAGCAGGAACTTTAGCAGGTGTGCTACTCTTATCAGGCTTCTTTCTCAACTCTATTTGATGTGCTCCTGTTGGTGTCTCCAACTGTGGGTGGCTACTTGACTAGTGGTTGTAGTCTGCTCTTTTCCTGCTATCTCTCCACTTTCAATGCTAAGGTATAGACATGCCCATGTGACCAACATGGTTGTAGCGGTACCACATTGCTAAAACTGGGCTTCAGTCCCTCAAGGTACCAGGCTACAGTGTGATCCTCCAGCTCGTTCAACTCACATTTCATCTGTAAGCGGTGGAATTGATCTGTGAACTCCTCCATTGAAAGGTTTCGCTATTGCAAGTAGTGGAGGTTCAAAAACATGTACCGTTAGTAATGAGGTGGATGATGTTTCTTTTGCATTGCTTTCTTCATATTTTCCCATTTCGTAATCTTATCACTGTTTTCTCTTTTCATATGTTTCTGCAAGTTCTCCCATCACAAAGAGGCGCTTTTTTTCAACTTGATATCATCTAATTTTACTCGTGTATCTTCTGACATGTCCTTCTATTCAAAGATTCACTCAACTGATTGTATCTGGTCGATCAAATCTTCCAGATCCATGCCTCCCTCAAAATGTGGTAGATCCACTTTGATGTCGAAGTCTCAGTGTCCCTTAAAAGTGGGTTCCTTTCTTGGCCTCCTCTAATATTGAATTTTGAAGCAACAATGTTGGTATTCCTTGTCGTTGATGTCTTTCATATGGAAAGGATTTAGATCTTTATCCATGACCCCCCTTGACTCTCCAGATCATGGTCGAGGTTAATCTCCCTCTGGATCCCACCATCAATCTATTCTAATCTTTGTTGGAATTGACTTATCTCCCGTCGTAATTCATCTTGGGTGGGGTCTGGCCGGTATCTGCTCAGGGGCATGATTGAAAATTTGGAATCCGCGGAAGAAAAAAACAAAAGGGTAAAAAAAGAAAGAACAAAAAGGAAAGGAGGAAAAAAAAAGAAAAAAAAATGGCAAGCTTTAAGGAACTGTAAGATAGGGCTAGAGTTAGGTTAGCTCTGATATCAAATTATACTAGAGTTAACCCAAACCATGATCTAATGAAAAATTGTATTGTTAAATTTAAAACTACAACGATGAATCCTCAACATAAAACTATACAAACATATCAACAACACATAACTACATCAACTTTGCAAAACAAGAAAAGGAACAACACAAAACACAAAAATGACTCTTTAGAGGAGAGCAGAAAGCCCATAAGGGAGGGAAAAGAGCGCCATTCATGCTGGAAGGTGGTTGACAACCCATGACTACAATGTCAGATGATGGAGGGGTGTGGGTAGCTACTGGGAGGAGGCTGAAAACAACTGACAATGACATATTATGGAATAAAGGTGGTGGCGGTGAACTGGACAACAACAGGAGTTGGTGCCAAGGTAGGAAAATAACAGGAATCGGTGTCCAGGGGCTGGCCAGCAACATAATGAGGCTCTGAAGGTCAGTACAGTTGCTGGAAGGCGGCTGGAAGCAAGGATAGTAGTGGGAAGAGGGGTTGGAAGGCTTGTGCGGTGGTTGGGAGAGCAGCAGTGAGAATTGGTTAAGGAGAAGGTTCCAACCTCATACAAGGTATAGTCGGAACACCTTCTCACCTCTAGATACATCCCTTGAAGGAAAAAAGCCGGAATCAAAATAGAAAGGTGATGAAAAAAGAAGATAGACAAAGAAAGTGCTAGAAAAGGAAGGCCTAAACAACGCAAGGAATCAAATATAAAAAAATGGAGCAGATGGCAGTAGATGACGACCGCTTCAACTAACAGCAATGGACGCTGCAGCACGGGCCACTTTCAAGCGGCAGACATTTTACTTGAACGATATAATCCAAATTTGGCCAAATTAATCGAATTCTAAATTCAACTAAAAAATAAACTGCATTGTGAACTTAAAATTCATTAAAACTTCAACTTTTCATTTATAAATTTTCTTACCAAATATAAAATTTTTTCAAAACCCTGCCGAAAAAAAAAACAAAAAAAAAACAGCACATTGCTCATACACTCGACCAAATGGTCCCTAAACCAGCCAAGGATTTTATTAAATTTGACATAATATCACTTTTTCGCCTCCTCCAAGTATAGATTAAGATTAATAATATTGATTTATCAATTTTATGTTTAAGAAGAACAAGCTTTTCAAGATTTTGAACATCATTTTTTTTCATTCACTTAACCCTTAAAAAAAATTAGGGGCATTTACATACATACCACATAATTATTTAGCATCCACATATCTAACATTTAAACTCTCAAAATTTTAACTTCACATCAACATCACCTCCATTCATACATAGGACCATGACAGCAAAGTGTTATACCATTTAAATATTAAATTTTAGGCGATAAATTTGTAAATACATAAGAATTGGGGGATGTTTAAGTAAATTTCCCAAAAAAATAAAAATATTCACATTAAAGGATAACACTCATAATAATACTAATTAATGATCCGCATGATATTAATAATAATCCATCCTTAATTCATCTCTCTCTGTCATCCACTCTCTTGTTCCATGACTGCATAGAAGCCATGAGGGAATCCATTCCTCAACTTTATTTAAGCATCTTCTCTGTAAGTACCCCTGTCTGAACCTTTTATTTACACGTCTGCTAATCCAGTCAGATTGCTTGCGCTTCAGGCCAATTAGGCTCTGCTACCGTGTTCCAGTTCAGAATGTTAATCAAATTCGTTCAAATTAGTTTAGTTGAAGCTCCAACCAGGACATAAATGCTCTGAGTTCTGCTACTTCGAACTCTCTGAAACATTGTAAAAAAAAGCTCAATGGTATGAGTGCAATACATAAAACAAAAAAAAAAAAAGAAATAAACAAAATCTTATCTTGCCCCATTTTTGAAGCAAAATCAATCATTTTGAGATAAAAAGTGAGATTTCAAATGCAAGTGGTGACTTGTATAAGAGAAAGAGGAGTTTAGGATCTTCAAAGTAATGAAGCTCTTTGTTACAACAATGGCTGTTAGAAAATACTCAAAGCTCACCCAAGCATAAAGCTGAAGAATCCTTTGCAGCTTTTTCTGCAGTAGTATATCCATGATCTTTTCCTCTTTTTCTGTCTTCCTCATGCCCATTATAATTGAATACAGACTGAAGCGGTAAAAGACATAAGAAACTTTACAAAGCCAAAGAAAATTCAGTTGAAGCTCAAGGAATGGCTCAATCTCTCTCTCAAGTACTCCTCCAAGGAACTGTTCGACGTCGTGAAATCAAACGAATGGGCTAGGCTGCTCACAGAAAGCGCAACATCATCGTCGATGCCGAGCAATGCTAAGTTAATGTGGGATTGAATGTTTAAATTATTGATTGTTGCCTCATCATCCATATCATCAAACAACATTGAAGAACCTAACTCCAACTTTGCTAACTTCACAGCTTCATCATCACCTTTGATTAGCTTCAAAACCTGCAAATTTGAATCAAATTATGCTTTTGAAATTAAATTCATCAGGCAGCGACCATAGGGAGCTTCTAAAGAGTGAAAAGTTTGGATCTTGGAATCTTACAAGAGCTATACTGGGCCGATCTCCCGGCATTTCTCTGATGCATAGGGAAGCAACAAAGCACATTCTTTCCATCTCATCTGTTTTGTAATTTTCACCTAAGCTTGGATCTAGCAGTTGCTCAAGGCTCCAAGCACGCAGTATGGGCTTTGCCTGCCAACAGTATCACATAAATGAACAAAATTTCGAAGTTCCGCATATATACCAGTTGGCTGTGAAACTAAAAGGATCTTTACAATGAAATAGACCAGACTTCAAGTGTCAAAGTCTATAAAAATGTCAAATTAATCCACAAACTCATTAAACTGGGGCTGAAATAATCATACATGCCAACTATTTCAGCCAATATTAAAAGAGTCTGAGGACTCTTGAGACTAAAATGGCGTCTTGTAAAGAGTTAGGACTCTATTTTAACATTTCTGATTCTCCCAATTAATATATTATGTTGGAATTTTCACAATAAAACACAGATGAAATCATTGACTTACCCATAGAACCAAACTCTCCTCACCCTTAGGACCATTAGTGCTTACTGGCTTTCTTCCGGAGAGAAGCTCGAGAAGAACGACCCCGAAAGCATAAACGTCGACCTTTTCATCTATTTCGCCATACGCGAAGCACTCAGGAGCAAGATACCTTCCAAGTAAGAGCAATATTAGAAATTGGCAGACTTGAGATAGACTAAAGAAGATAAAACACTACACATACCCAAATGTCCCTTCCAAATCACTGCTAGTTGTGTTCTTCATGCATGTTGATGCCAATCGAGCTAGTCCGAAATCCGACAGCTAAAGCATAGCATAAAAAGAACAACAATTTTTTTCTTTTAAAAATGTCATAAGAATCCAGAAGAAAAATTAGATATATCATCAAAATACCTGTGGCTCAAAATCATCAGATAAGAGAATATTTGAGGATTTCACGTCGCGATGGATCACAGGTTGTTCAGCGCTGCTCTCATGTAAGTAATGCAAAGCTTCTGCCACTCCAACTGCAATTTTATATCTTTCAGCCCAGCCAGGACTATTTTTTCCTCCCTCGTTGCCTAATGAAATTAAGAACATAGATAAGGATATTTTAAAAAGATTTACACACACACACCACTCAATTCCCAGGCATTTACATATTTAACACGTTTTATTCAATTTTTACATACATGCCACCTTACCTATGAATAAAAAAGGTGCACTTCACTTTTAAAAGTTAAACTGCCAGTATATTTGATGCGATATGAAAAGTTTAGGTGGTATAAATCTAAAAAAGTAAAGTTTTGGTCTTAGATATGTAAATATAAAGGAAATGAGTGGTTTGTATGTAAATGCTCCTTTCTTAAACTGTTCAGACTGATTTATTAAAAGAAGGTGAATCCATACCATGGAGATTGTCTTCTAAACTGCCCCTTGATAGGAAATCAAAGACCAACACAAGTTTCTTGTTCTCAAAACAAAACCCAGTTAGGGAGATGATATTCTTATGCTTCAAGTTTGACATAATCTTAATTTCTGAAATGAAATTCTTCAGCGCATCGTCTGAGTGTTCCAATACTTTCACTGCAAGCTCTTTCTTATCCAAAAGGCAACCTTTATAAACCCTGCTATTGCCTCCCTTCCCAATGATATTCTCTGCAATGATTTTGAGTACCATCAGGGAAAAGAAACATATTAAACGAACACATAAAAAATAGGGGCATTTACATATATAGCACTCAATTCTGATGGATTTACGTATCTCACATCAAAACTTTCATTTTTACACTCATAGCAGCCAATTCTTCCATATCACATAAAAAATAACACAAACTATCATTTCTTAATAGTTTAATCCACCATTTCATGCATAGATAAAGTGCCATGCTTGTAAATATGGAGCTTTAAGTGTGATATACGTAAATCCATAAGAGTTGTGTGCTGCATATGTAAATTTCCCTAAAAATAATAAGATAAACAGACGAGCAACCAGGAGAGAAATTAGATGTCGCCTGCTCCAGTTCCTTGTAGCTGAACAGCCTGAAAGAAGACGAATGCTTCTCATGAAGAGAGAGTAATTCTCTAGAGAGATCCTTTGTTTCATCATCAAACTCAAAGGAGGGAATAGGAGTGACTCCATTAAAATCAGGTTTGGAAACTTCATCAGACTTATCCTGCTTGTGATCAGGATGTACGACCGCTGATATTGGAAACCAACTAGGAAGATGCTTAGCCAATTGAACAGCAGAAGCTTTTGGCCTTCTCTGAGGAGAATTGTTCTTATGACAAGAAAAAGTTCTGCGAAATAGAGACCATCCAGGTTTTCTTTGTGACGATTCCAAAATCTGCGAAGGCAAACAGCCCATAGGTCTGGCATGAAACTTAGTTAGAATTTCATTAAAGGGCCCCTCCACAGAGTCTGAAGAAGCGTGACACAGCTCGCCGAAGACAGCAGAGTACAGTGGTTCATCTAGAGAATTATTGGCTACAAATTTCTCATTCTTTGACAGGCTGAATCTCCATGACAATTTAGAAGCAAAACTGTTGATTCTGTCACTGCTCAATCTGGCACTGGATGCAGAAGGAAGACAATGGAAGGAACGTCTTGAGAGATCTGCATCTTTTTTAGGTTGCTCATTGATCTTACAGGGCCTTACAGAATCTGTTCCAAGCGAAAGATCATCAATGCTTCTTTCTCCTGTCACCAAAATGAAATTTCGAGCTCCTTAGTGGAGAACTGAACTAGCAAATTCACACAAGGAATTCAGAGAAAAATCAACCTGCTGCTTCTTCCCCGAAAACTATCTTCCCATTATTCACGGCGAGCACCAAGCAACAGCCGGAAAGCTTCTTCGCGCAGTATTTCGCAACGGAGACAGAAAAATAACTGCCAATTCAAACCGATCAAAGAAGAAGAACTAAGAAAAGAGAAATGGAGGTTAGAAGGTTACCTAAACCCTTGGTTGCTGCACTTGGAAACCCCAACAATGAGTTTGGAAGCCGAAGCCAAGCTCGTCTCCTGAGCCAATGCTCTCCGAATGGAAGAACCCCGACTTATCTTTAGCTTCAGATCGATCTGAAAAAAATAACAAGAATGTAGAAACCTTCTTCGCATCTATCGCTAGCGATCAGTGCAACCGAAACAATACCTGCTTCAGGTTACAGAAAACCTCGTAGGCAGCGATCATGGCATTCAATGCGTTCACAGTAGAGTTCAAAGCCAAGTACTCCCCACCGGAATCCGGCACCTCTACAACCCAAAATCGCAAACAAGCTAAGATTAAACGAAAGCCCCAAAAACGTTTTATCGGTTAATGATCGAATTACCAGCGGGGAGAACATGGAGCGCAATGACGCGATCGCCGGCTTGTGCGACATTCACGAGAGTCCATGTTAAGAGCTCCCTGCTTCCGTCGTCCTCCTTTATTCCGACCACCATCGTCGTCCCCTCCCCATTCTTCCCCACATTGGTTTCTCCCGCAGATTCCTCCAGAGGAAAGTCCATGTCTTCCCCAATCCCGACTTCTCTTCCTCGAATTCCTCGCCGAACAGAGGAAGGGGAGAGCCCTCTCTCACAGAACTCCGCCTCATCAATTGGCATTGTGCTCGGTTTCGTCGTTGGATTCGAATTTATTAAATATAAATTTGGCTTCTTTGCCGGACCACCATCTTCGATTTATTGCTATTTTTTTTGGTGATGGTGAAAAAAGAATCTGTCAATCAAGTGCGGAGTAAAACTGTGGTGTGGCAGATGCCAATTGTCTGTGAGTGGTGAATTCGTTGAATGCATTTCACATGTGTAACAGTTGGTTGATGATTATACCCCGAACAAGTTGCTCTCAAGATCAATTTATATAAATAGCACTTATGTTATATTAGTTATATGTTTATCATATTTATATATATAGAACTTTATTAATTTTCATTAATGAATTTACTGGACTGTATTTTGAGGAGCATTGTATTTTAATTCCGTTTTTTATTTTAATTTAACAGCTTGTCAAAAAAAAAAATAATAATAATAATTTAATATAAAAATTTCATGGCATTTGAAACTCAATTTCTGTTTGGAACAACTGTTAATTATTTATAATATGCAGATAATATGATAATCTGCAGATTATTATAATAAATTGTTTTGCTGTTGGAGACAGTTTATTCAGAACAGTTTAGTAGGACGTGTTGTTGGATAAATGATCACTCTGCCCCTCATTGGTTAAGTTGTTTGCAACAAAACTGAACGGAAAAATAATAATAGAACTAATACAGTTGAGTTACAAAAATTAAAATACATTGCTAACCATTTTGTTATCAAAAGAAATAAAATAAGAAGAAATACAATTACAATTAAAAGTAAAAAAAATTAAAACGTTCAATAAGGGTAGATAGAATAAGAACTAAAGGGTTTCATGAAAATGTATGTGTTTAGGAGAAGACAACAAAAAAAGGGCTTTTATTTTAATTATTTTGTGAATGTAACCCTTCCTATAGTGAGCATAGCATACTCCAAATGTTAATACAATGATTCTTCACACATCAAATTATGCACTAACTTCTACATATGATTAAAAAAATGAACATGAAGTCAAGTTTTGTAAACTATGCAGTAATAAATATGTTCAAGAAGTAGCTCTTGATTGGCAATTGTCTTGCACCGTTAAAAAAACAATTAATTAGCAAATTTTAGTGAAAAAGAATAAAGAGTTTTAACACCGAAATTTTACCTAGGGTTCTTGAAAATCCAAAAATGAAAAGAATGGGTGTTGCGATTCGGAAATAATGGGTAAGTGGAAACCATCAAGAAAGTATAGATCAAGAAGGAAAAGAAGAGGATCGAGAATACCAACCGAAAGCATGCAATTCATACAATAGACGGTTGAAAATAGAGATCCTAAGTGATCACATAAGATTCAAGAAAGGAAGAAGAGTTTCTACATGCTTGGTTAAAGATTCTCACGAGCGAATCGAAAAGAACTCCTCTGTGCGAATCAAATGGAAGAAAGTAGCTCTTTTGCGAACCGAATGGAAGAAGAGAGCTCTGTATGCGAACCGAATGGAAGAAGAGAACTTTGTGTGGAGATCGATCAGTAGGAAAGAGCTAAGTAGGAATCCATGCTTTCAGTTTTATGAAGAATCAAAAGCATTTTGATCAAGCAACGATCTGCACAACTTTAGTCTCCCAGCGGCCTTTTGATCAAGCTAGAATTGCGGTGTTGATCTCAGCGAAAGGTGAACGACGAGAAGAAAGATCGGAGAGGGGAAGGGCGAGGCCAAGCAGAAGAGCACGAGAGTAACTATTACCACAACGCGAGAAGGAGATGTGGGACGGGGGGTCGATCACGCATCCCTGCCTATTAAAGAAATGGCGAACGTAGTTTCAAAGTTTTTTGGAGACGCCCGGCTAACCCGTTATTCAAATGGTGGCACTTACAGAAGCACTTCCAATCATCAATGTCGACATCCACTAACGACCATTGGTGTCAATATCTATCATCATCAGCATCGGCCACTACCGAGCACCACCGCAGCAACCCGTCATTGGCACTACCACCACAGATCGTTGAGCACCACCGTCGTTGTAGAGTACCACCAGTAGCGCCGCCACTGCCCTCCGTCAATACCACCGCCGTCGGCCATTGCCACCACTGTGGCCTCCATCACCTCCGTCGACCACTACCACCACCGCTGTCGCTGAGTACTTATCCCGTTACTGCTTATATGCAACAGTATAACAATGTATTTGATTATATTTTTACTTATATTTTCTTACTTTGCAACAGAGTCAATCAAGGGAAAATTATGCAATATGCTCTATTGAACAACAAACTTTTTATTAAAAAAAAAACAATTACTTAAACTAGAGATGTATTCGCAGTAATTAAAAT